TAAATTCTCTGCACAAACAGCCCCTCGCTTTTATTCGTCCATCCATTTTCTTCCACCTGGAGGCCAATTTCATTCACACCTATGGACAATTTAGAAACACCAACATGCATGACAGTGAGGGGGGAGTCAGAGTCCCCATGTACATATACAGGCCCACGGCAGGGCAGGAGATTCAAACCAAAGACCTCCTTGTTGTGAAACGACTGCACACATGAACTCTTGCAAACAGATAATGTTAATTTGGTAGTCGTCTTTGCTCCAGACATGAGCTGAGATGATAGAGATGAGTTGCTGTAAGTGAGTTTGGGCTTTTATAGAGCAGTGAAATGCAAAAAATAAAAACTATTAAAGTCATTTAACCTGAGATCCATCAACATTACACTGCCTTTTATTTATGTTCCTGTTGTGGGAGGTCAGAGTCTGGACTGAGATGGCTCACAGACTAGCTTTGGCCTTTGGGTTGTATGTCGCTCATGTGAGTATATCTGAATCTAAAAGGTCTATTTCTCCACAGATGGTGGTTCCAGATTACTTTGGTTTTTTTCTCATCAGGGCACTGGAGAATTGCAAACTGGTCCAGTGAGCACCTGAATGCTGTCGGTTCGTGTCAGTGGTAGTAAATGTGGCCAGCGCTCCCCTGGTTTGAAAGTAACTCTCATTAGATGAAGTGTAGGAGTTGTGATATTTGGCCACGAACTTCCACAGTAGCTTTATTTTCATCAGAGCGTATTCTGGCTGCATATTACTGGAGTCACGCAGAGCTAAAGCAAATATACACTCACGCACACGTCAAGCGTCAGCGTGCTCAGTGTCTCATTGGGGTTAATTCTTTGCGTATAAAAACAAACATAAAACACGCCCACAGACCGCCAGCACTGATCAACTCAGTCCAACTCTTATTGAGAATCTGTTCCAAAGCACCAAATACAGCCAACGCTTCAGCTCCCACACAGTCGACAGACGCCAACAGACCGATGCAGCACCAACACATCCCTGAAAGACACTCCAGCAGGTCTGATCTTATTCATCTTTTTGTTCTAACTCTTTGCCCTCTGGTTTTGTTTCTCTCAGGTGAACTGAGTCTGGTCCCTCAGGTTATGTCAATTAAAGGTTATAGCAAAGCTTTTGGGGGAGCGCACAGGCAATACTTGAATGGCTTAAGGTTTACTTCAAAGGTAACTGAAACAAAAACATACAGAATCAGTCAAATCAGACAAGAAGAGAAAAATTTGTGATTTTCCCCTAAAAGTTACACATTTATTAAACACGTAGCTTCACATAATTTCGCCTAAACAGATCAATCCAGAGCATCCACATGATTAATGCCCATGCCTCCTCCCACCAGAGGACTGCACAAACAGGAAGCTAATGAATATTCTGAATAGATTGCCGGGAATAAAATATAAATACATTTACCTACATTGACTGGCCCAATAAAACAATAGATATACCTGCCACCACACAGCTGAAGCTGTGATAAAACCTCTCCTGCAGCCACACAACTGGCCGTTGATTGGCTCCCTGGATGCAGAGGTGGGCCAACTGCCAAGAATCGCACTACATAATTCTTCTGCTTCTACTCGTGGTTATCTGAGTGCCACGTGTCTCTCATATATTTTCACAGGTTATATAAAAAGACAAGAAATAAAGCAGAACTACATTACCCAGAATCACACGTGACCATACAAAGTGTTAGTGTTCAGGACATCACTGCTGCTAACATCACACAAACTGAACCATTAGAAAAAGTCACTGTGGTGTATAAATCAAACATGGAACAAACTCTGCTGTTACTATTCGAGGCCTCTGCTGACACGCATCCCGCCCGAGTTCACCAGCAGCAAGTTCGTGCTTGTAATTTAGGAATTAACGGACACACCCAGAATTAGGAGGAAAGTCACTGTGATACGAGAGTTCAAGCCTCTGGAGGAAACATCCTCAGTAACACCGACACACACAACACAGTGAACCTGTCGGTTCACAGCTCGGGCACAGTCTGCCCCCTCGTGGACAAATTAAACACTACGCCGCATCTTTGGATATTATGGCTAAAAAATGACTGCGTTACACCTGCAGTCATTCCAGCCTTTGAATATTCTGAGCTTTTTGTTTCAATTTCAAGCATTTTGCATGTTCTGCAGAACAATGCATATACATGAAGGCATTATTCGTTTCATTGTTGGTTCAGTTATAATGTGTGGTATTTGTCTGATAGATATCCCAGTGTCAGTAAACATGCGCCAAAGCTCAGGCTTGTTTTCTTTAGTTTTGTAAGTGGCCATTAAAATCTCTGTTTTTATTTCGGTTTTGTTTGCACACATAGTTCAGCTCACTCAATTCTCTGTCATAATCCCGCTGGGCTGTCACAGAGGCAGAATATCACACAGTGCATGTCCATGAACACGGTTCTGAATGTCTCGATCTTATTATTCTAACCCTGAGTGCATGAAAGAGAGGGATGACGTGACACTGATCCGGTCTGTTTAAAAATAATGCCAAAGCACGTCATCATCTGGTTCCTCTTACATGTTTTCCAGTAAACTGAGAGCTAATTTATCACTGCATTTATCAGGCACAGCTCCACAAATGTACGAGCACATTTCACTGTAGCTAAAAGCACACTGAGGAGTGCAGAGCAAACACTTACCCAATTTAAATATTTAGATTTCAGCACTGAGAAGTCACTCGACTAATCTCTAATTCATTCTGCAGCGAGACAACCAGCTCCTCAAAGCCAAAAATCACAGAGAAGCAACACTACTACACTACTACTATTATACTACTACTACTACTACTACTACTACTACTACTACTACACTTTGTATAAAGTTAACTTTGATTACGATCAGAGGCCAGAATTTAGTTGATTTTGCAGCCCTCATCGGTCACTTCAGCACGCATGTCATGTGTTTAGAGGGACTTACTTTTCATAGTGCCAGCATCTTCGTCATCATCATAGTCCTCGTCATCATTAGAGTTGATGACCATGGTGCCCAGCTGTGACTGCAAGGTTCCCGTGTCATCGTGTTCAATCATTGTTCCTGCGGTGCTTCCAAGAGAACTTCCTAAAGAACCGGCAGCCCGGATGGTTCCTGAGTCACCCGTACCTGCCCGAACCATCGTCCCCTGGTCAACCTCATCTTCATCCTGAAACACAGAGGCGGAGGGCAGCGTGATTTAATGCTCTCCAACGGCAGTTACAACATCCAGAAAGGACATGTTTATAAATATGAGGCTGTGTTTAGCTTTGGAAAGTTAGAAATCAAAAGCTCGTCAAATACAAAAACACTCGTAAGTTAACGTCTTCTTTAGTTGCAGTAACTTAAAAGCTGTAAATGCTATCCTATTGATATTTAAGGGCTGATGGAGACAATCTGTGACTCTTCAAGTCTGTACCGAATTCTCATCGTCGTCTGCATCCTGCTCTCTTTGTTCTTCCTCCTGTCTCTTCAGTTTGATCTCCATGGCATCTGTGATCAAAGCTCTGAGGATGGAATTGGGCTTGGCCGATTTAATAAACGGATGCTGTCGAGGAGAAAGACACGTAACGCTCAAACCAAACGTTTATGGGTTTTGACATTAGTTACAATTAGAAATGATCCATGAAAGCTAAAGCATGACCACAATAGCAAATATTACAGCAAATACTACGATTATGTAAAAAATACTACTATAATATGATGTATTAAACTGAAATTCCAGCCAGCAACAAAACAAAATAAAATGAATGGTTAAGTGAAGCTGTCCACTAAAAGACAATATCAAAAAAATAAAGCTCATTAAGAAAATTAAGAAATTAAGAAAATATTCAAAAATCAAATCAAAAAAATTAAAAAATTAAAAATAAAAATACATTTGATTTGAAAAAGTTAAAGAGCAGGTCACACAATAAAACAGAAATAAAAATAATAAACAGATTAAAAAATGAGCACAAAATGTTTTAATAGTTACTACCTCATTTACATAGTGTGGCTTTAATAATTAAAAATCTAATTTAAAGATATCTAAAGGTTTGAATGTTTTCTGATCACACGGTCATCCACGACACTCGGTCTATTGTCAGTTACAGGATTGTTTCGTTACCTGTAACAGCTGTGTGGCCGTAGCTCTGTTTTCTGGGTTCTTCACTAAACACTGGCTGACAAAGTCCCGGAAGCCCGGAGACCACAGATCCGGGTTCCGAAAGGTTGGGGGAGGGTTTGTGGGAATCATGAAGATGGCCTGGAAGAGGAAACAGTTCAGCACACTGAAGGCAAAACCAGCTAACCATCACTGTTCAGCTAAATACAGTAATTCATGTCACACTCCTTCGTTTCCTCTCTTTGTCTTCTCTTACACACACATACAGCTGTTATTATTTACATACTAACATTTTTGGGGCTTACACACACAGTGCAAACACACTTGCACTGCTTTCTACTAGAGATGTAGAAAGCAGCTGGTATCTGTATTTGTTGAGGGGGGAAAGTATTTGTACTTGTATTTGTATTCGAGTAACATTCAAAATAGCGTAAAAAAACTTTTTTTTTGCGTTACACTTTTAATTAACGTAATAGTGCAAGTATTCTTTAATTCTATCCTTTATAATCATTATGGATATGCAATATTAGTTGATGTTTTTCCATAAATCCAGCAATGAACATGTAACAAGTCATTGAAAAGAAAATAACATAACAGCCATTACCTCATCAGTGGTCAAACCAACAACTGATAAAATACCATTATGAACATTATGAACCCACCACCACCCGTCCTGTTGGAGGAGACTGAAC